CTCAATTACCCAATCCCTCTTCTAGCAATGAAATCAGGCGTCCTTCGAGATCTACACTCTCTTTGGCGCCCGTTTGGGCTTTCTTTTCTTTCATTTCCAACCTCTCTTAGAAGCCCTCAGGTGAAAACATCAACAAGTCTGCAAATCAAGGAATGGGGATCTCATTTTATTTTCCAATTTTTAAGCATACTGGGGCGTCTTTTTGCCTTCCATACCTAGTCTCATTTCATTTTCCAAATTAAGGAATCTCTAGCACTCTCATTTTTTTCCGATTTTGTTTTCCAAAGCATCGAATAAAGATGCCCACCTCATGGAACACTAATGGGGCTGGTTTCATTTTGTTTTCTTATTTTTAAACATATCCAAGTTTCTTTTCTCCTAAATCGGACTTTTTTGGAACCGATCTCTTAAGGAACTGGTAGCGCTGATGAAACTAGAAATGATTTCAAAATATGGGATTTTCTTTTTGTTTTCTGGTATCTGTAATTTTCCTTCTCTTTCCTGATTTTGAAGTTAGCTAGAGACCAGAGGTAGAGTGATGAGGCTGGCGGGTTGAGGCTGGTGTGCTGGGTGAGAGTACGAACGAAAGGCAATTATTACATTTTCTTATATTATTCCCACCACATTGGTTTTTGCTCCAAAAAGAAACCGGATAAATACTTCAGGTCAGAGGGAGTATTATGTTTATGTTTCAATTTGTCTAAAATCTCAAATGTTAATTAAGCACTCAAAAGTCCAACCTCTAACCAGTCCAAAACCCCATCCAAATTGGGCCTTAGAATGTTACTCCCTCCGTCCCAATGTATTTGTCGACATTCATTTTGGCTCATGGAACAAGGTTAATGAAACAAAATATGAAAGCGATCATTACGCCCTTGATTTTACTTTTTGGGTGGGGGAGTTTGAGTATTTCGTCGGGGCAAATAAGTCACTATCACTCTATTTCTCTTTCTTAAATGTATATATACATTGTGACGGCCCAAAAAGGATTACTGAGCAAATACACTGGGACGGAAGGAATAAGAATTAACATATGCCTATTTGTACTCTCCATTGGTCCTTCATGCTTCGTGTAATTTACAGGCCTGGAGTCATCCTTCATTGATCATTTTTACCAACCGTTGTATTACTTGTATACTTAGGTTTCCCCAGCAAACTTACCTAATTTCAGCTACTGATTCCAATTCTGCTTGGTAGATTAGGCAAAACTTGGTAGGGGGGTTTAATGTTAATACACATGGTAATATTGAAGTAGTCTCCTTATCTATTACTTGAAAGAAAAGAGGTCAAAATAGCAAATTCTCCTTTCCCTAGGAGACCAATGATCTCCTTTCACTTTTAAGAGTATTAAGCTGGTTTTGTTATCCGCAAGTCTTCTTGACCTCCTTTCACTTTGTAGTACTTTGGTTGGTACATGCTCCATGACATACAACTAATGTTTATGTAGTCTGCAACTGCTCATGGATTTATATATCAACTGCGAATATGTTGACTGGTTATTTGTGGTTCACTAGTTCTAGCATTAATTTATTGATAACAGCCTAGAGTACCCTGTTACATTGGATGTTACTTGGAGTGCCATTGATCAAGTTAATATAAAGTACACTAACACTAGAGACTGAAAGAGTATAGAGTAAATTGTATGAAAAATTAATTGTTTATGAGCTTCTCTTTCTAATTTCCTTTTGGAATAGCAGTATCTTAACGGTATATTTTGTCAATGTCAGTATTAAAATGCATATTCTTGCATAAAAGTTTGAATTATTTGGCATTTCTCTCTTTAATTTGCTCTGTTATTTTTTGGGAGGAACCTAAATTGTGCAATTGCTTTTATTTCTGCAAGGATTCCTCTTCCTCAGTGGGTGATAGAAGACATGGAAAAGGATCCAGATTTAGCATATTCAGACAGGTTTGGGAGACGGAGCATGGAATATATTTCCCTAGGATGTGATGTTCTTCCCATTCTGCAAGGACGATCTCCAATACAGGCATATACTGATTTTATGAGACACTTTAGAGACACCTTCAAACCATATCTCGGAACCACCATAACTGTAAGATGCTTCTTTGTATCATGAATGCTCATGTTGTGTTTTTATGCGAGCAATATGTTACCTACGAAAGATAAGTTAGATTGAACCTGGTACTTGATTTGCAGGGTATTCAAGTTGGAATGGGGCCTGGTGGTGAGTTAAGATATCCTTCGTGCCCTTCACTAAAGCTAACAAGGACATGGCGCTCACATGAACTTGGTGAATTCCAATGCTATGATAAGGTATGAATTCAATAGTATATTACTCCCTCTGCCCCGTAAAAACAGTCCGTATTCACACATGTACAACATTTTATTTTTTGTGATGCATAATTGTTGAAACCAATCAAATATAGCTACATTTTAAAATTTTTATTCTTGGTTTAGTTCAATGTAACACATGTAGTATAAAAAGCACTATCTTTGATGAAAATTAGCTTCTTTTCTTCAAATGGGACTGATTCTTGGGACTGATTTTTAGTACCTTTTTAATGAGTCAGAGGGGGAGTATGAGTTATTGATTATTAATTTTTCAGAGTGAGTAGTGATATGCATCTCTCATTCTCTCCTATTATTTTCTTTCTTGATTGGCAGTATATGCTGGCTTCTCAGAGTGCCTGTGCTGGGGAGATAGGGATGCGCGAATGGGCAAATGGAGGCCCCATTGGTGCTAGCAATTTGATGCACAACCCCGAAAGCACAGAGTTCTTCAGACGTGATGGTTCTTGGAACACGCCATATGGAGAGTTCTTCCTTAAATGGTATTCTGGGATGCTGTTGCTTCACGGGGAAAGGGTTTGCAAGGAAGCAGCATCTGTTTTTAGGGGGGTCGAGGTCAATTTGACTGGTAAAATAGGTGGGGTCCATTGGCACTACGTTACACCGTCTCACCCATCAGAACTAACAGCTGGCTATTACAACACTTCAATCCAAGATGGTTTCCTGCCGATTGCTCGCATGTTTGGTAGATATGGATTCACGTTGTGCTGTACGTGTTTTGAGATGCAAGATGTAGAAGAACAACAGATGAATCCAGCGAGCAGTCCTGAAGGGTTTCTAAGACAGCTTTTACTTGCTGCGAGAAACTGTGAACTTCCAGTTGTTGGTGAAAACTCGGCAACCAGTCTTGATGACAAATCTTTTGAGCAGGTGTTAAAGATTTCGAAATTCTATTCAGATGGTCAAGATAAACCGTCGTTTTCCTTTAACTTTGTCAGGATGGACAAGAACTTGTTTGAATACCGGAATTGGGTTAGTTTTACTCGGTTTGTGAGACAGATGTCCGTCACCAGTATTTTTCGAGGGAAGATAGGTTTTGGGGAAGGTGATACGCCGGTTTCGTCTTCTTCAGCAGCTAGCATGAAAGCAGTTCTCTCCTACTAGCCAGCCAGCCAGATGAAGCAGAAGCTCTGTGTCCACTTCTGATTTATTGTTTTGAATTGCAGTTTCTTGAGTAAATTTTCTTCGCTGCATTGTATTTGGTTTTCCGTTTCGTACGTTCTGAATGGAGCAAGCATACATCTCTCTCTCTCTCTCTCCTCACCCCCACTTCTCTTTTCTCTTTGTAAGTCTGTAGTGTAAAGCAGAGCCTTCCAAATATTTTGAGAATGGAAGGCTCATGTTGTTTGCGCTAGCTACTCGCGCTTTAAATATTTAGCTTGTCAAAGGAGAGGTGTTTCCATGTACTTTTTACATTTTATTTTTAGTAAACTCCATAAATGGTCTCTAGTGTCTCATTCGGTTAAATTGGAAATCAGAGTTGGATGTAAGAAGAAACTCAAAAAAATTTGAAGAAACTTGGAGTGAAAAAAATTAGAAAAGTTGGAAAATATTGGAAGAACTAAAGTGTTAAAAAGTCACTCAATTAATATGTAAGAAATTTTAATTTTGGATAAAAAAGAATTTATCTGTCTCTGTTTGAAGTAATATGTTCTAAATTTGATATATATTTTTTTGATAACTTCTAAATTTGATATATAATGTTTTGTATATTCATCATATATAAAAAAAATTTATGTCGTTGAAAAATGAAAAGAATTGGAAAGAATTGAAAGAAGTTAAAAAAAATTAGAAGTTGAAAGAAGTTAGAAATTATTTTTTCTAACCTAAAAGAATTATGCACAATTACATGTTTTTCATATTAAGTCTCTAATTATAAAATATTACGTAGTATATAAATAGTTTTCAGTTTTTGAAAGAGTTAATAGTCATTTTGGTCCTTCTAAGTGTACTCAAAACTCAACCTTGCCCTTGTAAGTTTATTTGAGTTAAATTTGTCCCTATATACGGAGTATAAAAATGTGAATCAAGTTAGTACTTTGAACAAAATTTATCTCCTAAAATTTGGAGTTACCACATTAATTGATGCAAGAGCAAAGACCCGTGTATTAAGTTTTGTGTCAATTATCGTGTTAACTTAGAATTTTAGAAAATTAGTTTTGAATAAAGAACTTATATGATTCATATTTAATTTACAATTTTAGAGGCCCTGCAATTTTTTTACAATGGATAATGCTATTTTTATTCTTCAAATATTTTTTGTAAAATAAATCTAAACGGCTGCTGCAACTACATATGAAAAGTGGGACGAGTGTTGTATGATGGAGAAAAAATGACCAGATTCAAATGACAAAATGGAGGATGGCTGAGATTCCAAATCTTAAAAGATTGAAAGGGTCTAGGGGACATATTCTAGATATTAATATCTCCATGCTTTATTAGCGCAATGTTAGAGAAGGGAGGGCCGGACAATATGACATGGCAAGAGCTTGGCTTAGCTTAGTTATGAAGTTGTTATTCATATAAGATTTTCATTCTGTCATGACATATTACTACAACTCACTGAACTCAGTGTCAAAAGCAACAACACACTTATATATTTGTTTACCTTTATGCACGAAGATGCCTCACCATTGGAGAAAGAAAGTGCTAGACCTGACAAAAAATGACCCCACCTATTTTTGATCCGAAACCCAATCTGAAAACACTGGGATTTGAACAAAGGTTTTGATGACCCAAACCGAACTTGACCGAACCCGAAATGACCCTCTAAAAATGGGTCAAACCCGACCGAACCTGAACCCGACCTGAACGACCCGCTAAAGTAAGAATTTTTCAAAATCATACACTTTACTACTCGTTTTTAGTGTATAAATTTATATTTTTAGATAAAATTTTAATGGTATTGCATAATTTTCTTACTTTTTTCCAAAACTTAAGTTAAAGAGTATAGTATAGTATAAAGAGTATCGTAAGTTAAATTATAAATTGATGTTGGTCCATCATATAAATTACATAGTATGATTATTCAAATATTCGTTTATGATTCGATAACTATTCGAATATTAATCAAATACTTATTCAAATACTTATTCGATAACTATTGCATAATCATACTTTTATATACGGAATATAGTATAGTATAAAGAGTATCGTAAGTTAAATTATAAATTGATGTTGGTCCATCATATAAATTACATAGTATGATTATTCAAATATTCGTTTATGATTCGATAACTATTCGAATATTAATCAAATACTTATTCAAATCTTTTTTTGAATTCGTCTCATATTCGGATTCAGATTCGTATTCGAAAAAATTAAACAAATACAAATTCAAATATATCGGTATTCGCTTCGATTCGGTTCGTTTACACCCCTATATCCAACGGTTTGTGGCCCGTTTAACACGATTGCTCATCTGGAAGTCCATACCCAGCGGCTCGTGATCCTTTAGGGATGGCACTAAAAAAATTAAGGAATTGGAAGTTCATTTGCAAGTGGTCAACCAGTTAGATTCAAAATGACCCGGTTGTCCATTTGAGGGGGAGTGTTAGAGAGTCATCCCACATCAGAAGTTCAAGAGCAAAAATAATCGGTATATAAGCTCTTGAGTTGAATTAACTAATCGATTGGATTCAATCTTTTAATATAGTTCACCTCAAGTGTCTTATAGCCCAATCCAGTTGTCCATACCCAATCCTAAATTCTATCATGGTATCAAAGCAGGTTTTAGCTCACCTCGTTTGTCAAGGTGTCCGTCTAGACGTTCATTCCTAGCGGTCCTTTAGTCTTTAGCCAGTTGTCCGTATGAAGTAGATTTGTGCAAATAAGGATCTGGGCCGGGCTTGATATAAATTATTAGCCCATTTACATGGGCGGGCCTGGCCCGACCCGGATGTGATGGGCTAAATTCTTTACCCATACTCGCCCACTTTGCGGGTCGGACTGCCCACCGGGCCGCCCGTCCCGGATAAAACATCAAGAAATTTTTTTTGTACAAAAAATTAAAAAAATAAACATTGAACTCTTTTTCAATGTTTAAAATAAAATAACCACTCACCACATTTGTTATCATTTTGGTAGAGAAGCAACATCAATCTTTTATGGATTTGTAAAAAGGTGTGGATAGCCTTTAAATCCTCATTGTAAGGTTGAAGATAACCTTAAAATCTTCGGTTGTAAACGGTTGAGATAACCGTAGTAAAATCTTATTTGTTTATTGGCAAGAGTTGTTTGCCAAACCTCGTTTGAGTCTTCTTAGTGAAGCCAAACAAGTTAGTAGAGGTTAAATCCTGGAAGAGGAGCCTCGAGGTACTGGAGTAGGGAGTTCCCAAACTAATATAAAATTGTCTGTGTCATACTTTTATCTTTTATACTTTTCTTGCTCCTTTTCCGCTATTACATTGCGCATAAGTTATTGTTTTTTACGAAAAAATTTCAAACACCCTAATTCACCCCCTCTTAGGGTGTAAACCGACTTTCAATTTGCATTGTGTAATGGGACAAGATTAGTTGTTGAAGAGCTACGAAATAATATTATCGATGCAATTGTGGTTTCAGGAAATCAAGTCCAGAAAAAGGGTTACATCCCTAAAATGAATTTGGTACTATTTGATCAAGGATTACCCTTGAGATTCTAGAGAAGACAATTCCCAATCGTCTTATTTATTGCTATGACTATCAACAAATTAAAGTCAAGGTCAACAATATCATTTATGTGATTATTTTAAACCAAGACAATTTTCACACATGGTCAATTTTATATTTCTATTTCATGAGTAAAGATAAATGAAGACATGATTAAGAATATTGGTTTTAGATGATAATGAAAACCTTTGCAACCATAACAAAAATGTTATATACCTTGAAGTCTTTCAGAAAATTTCGTATTAAAACAAACTTTGATGAATCTACGTTTCATTCCTCGAATGTTATTTATTCTACTTTGACATTTTTTGTATATAGTATTAAAAATCATGTGAAAGATATATTTTCTTTATTTAAGAAAAAACTTTGCATTGGAAAAGTTTTAGAATAAAAAAAGGACAAAGCTATTTGTACCCCAAACTTTTGTACCCCATTTGTACATTGCAGGTTTGCACAGACATTTTATGTTGGTGTAAAATTAATTTTTGATAACGCACCAACACTTTGTGTCCGTGTAAATTTTTGTTAACGCATTAATACTTGTGTCGTTATAAACCATCGAAATGTTTGTGTATAACCGCGATGTACAAATCAGGTACTCCGTAGAATTTTTTGTGTAATTGACTAAAAAATTCCCCCATGCGTGGCACGGTACTAGTCAGAATAAATTCAAGAGTAATACTAGGGTACACCAAAAGGTATACCTCAAATGTACACCACCCTTTTTTCCTCCACACATTTTTATTTGTTTTTTATTTACTTAATTTTTTTGAATTTTTTTGCATTTTTAATGGACAAAGAGGGGGTGGGGATATTTGGGGAACACCTACCCTAGCATTTTTCTAAATTCAAATGCCCAAGAGTATACGAGAGTAAGAGTACGAAGTAATTTGTTTTTGCGTCAACCCAACTCGCAAACCGGCAAACCCTATCTCAGTATCTTATTCTTCATCTTCCGATTCCTGTCATCGCCGTCATCTACTCATCGCCGTCATCTCCTCTCTCATCGCCGCAAATCGCAGTAGAGGACCTCGTCCGTAGCCGCGAACTCGAGAAGGCCATATCTCTACTAGCTAAGGCGACTAACGGTAATCTTTTAATGAGTTTCGGGATTATTTGAATGAGTTTCTCCATTAAAAGAATATCAAGTAATTACAACCTTAAATCTTGCGAAGAAAATGTAGTCCACTGTAAATGGAGTAATAACAACCTTACATATAAAAAATTTCTCCATTTATAGTCAACACTAACTGTAAATGGAGTTTCTATCGGAGAAGAAAAATTGGCTAAAAGATGATACAATTTTTGTTTAAATATGTGTCCTGTTGTTATTTATCTCTGTTTTAAATAGTAGACTTTTTTTGGCAGAATCAACCCCCGAACCCAATTCCCAAACTATTTTCTTGTATTGGTTTTATACAATTTGGTTATAAATAACCGACCGCAACCATTCTGTTTAACCGGTTTCGGTTTTGTCGGTTATGCAAATACAACGATTTGGTTTCGGTCGGTTTATATATATCCAAAAGAATTGGTCAATTCGGTTTTGAGCCGAAATCGACCGAACCGACCCGATGCT